AGCAGTTTACGTTTATTGTCTGCCTGAAGCGGTCGTTTGAGTTTTCTATACAGTCAATGCTAAATCAGGCGAATACGGTGTTTGCGGCATGATATGGGTTGAAAATTTGGGGAAAAACTCACGAAGAATCAATGCAGTAAGCAATGGTGCTTATCGTGGTTCAAAACCAAGACTTGTCGGCCCCTACCACACCTCGATAATCGAAGAAAACATAACCTCGATTTTGGGCGTGCTTTGACGTGACTTTTTCGGCTTGCGCTCACGGCTCTGTCACAATATTCGGTCGATTGATCGTCTGTTTCCGGGTCGTAAGCATAGAACCAAGATTCATCACCAGTAATAATACGTTTCATGACATCCTGGTAGTCGGAAAGCATTGTTTCGCAGACGTTAACAAAAAATTAGCGATTTCGGAACCATTCCTACTTCAACTTTTCTTACGCCCAAATGATCGTTCAAAATGTTTTTTACTAATCCTTCCGATATTCCAACGATGCCAGTGAGATCTCCGCCTATTAATCGTCGATTCTCAAGCACTAATTCCTTTATTTTATTAACCTTCATAACAGGAGAGACACGGAAGGTGGTAGATTTGATTCTGCTGCATGACATTGCTCGGTCTCACATTGGTAAACCCGTTAAAATCTATCAGGAATTTTGCACACCCGAACATTGTCACCTAAACTTTATCATCATTCAAAATAGAGATCTCAAATTTCGTTTTCCAATACACCAGATCTCAAAGTAAAGGAAGTATATTAGTAGAAATGAATATGAACCACATTGGATCTATTTGACACCAGTTTGAAGTCTTTACTTTGCTGGCAGTCCCTCATTTTAAACGCTGGGTTCAAGTATGACCGAATGTGCCTTTATAGTGTGTGTATATGTCTACTGCAATATACCGAAGAGAATAATATATAATTCGATTGACTTATTAAATTTTTGTGTTTATTTATTTTTCAAATTCTTACACCATGGGCTCCAATAATTAATAAGTTTATTGATAATTGAAAAAGTTCTTATCAAGTATTAAACTAGCGTAACAACAACAACAACTTTATTACCGTAATACCAGTGAACTGTATAATCAAAATAAACCTAGAAAGAAGTTGATGTGAAAATTCGGTAGCTACTAAATACGTACTAACTATGTGCATATGTGCAAGAAAAATATACATACATACATATATATAGTACACGTGTCCAAATATTATGTATTATAAAAAAATTCTATCGGATTTACTAATACTTTAGTTACTCGAATTATTTAAAGCACTTTAGGTTTGTGAATAAAACCTCGAAGCAAAAAATCAAAAAAATAAATTTATTCTCGAGGGCGGAAGGAAGGGAAGAGTATCAAGAAAAATACCCAGTAACTCTTCGATCAATTTTTACTAGTTTAGGTGCATTCGAACATTGTCTTCTCCAATGCTAAATATTATCGGCAGGGTGTCTTAACTCTCTCAAGCACTACAATTAGCAATAATGGTTTGAAAATTTAATCAAGCTTTAGAAGACAGCTATGTGCTAAGATACCTAGAAAAATTTATAGGTTAGGTAAGCCAAGCTAGATTCCGATCATGGCGAGTTATCCGATGCCGTATTAAGACAAAAAATCATTAATTTATAAAAGACGTATGACATTTATATTATTATATATTATAATCCATGTTCTCCGATAATTCTTTAATCCTAACATACACCGGTATATCAGGCTTTTAAGATTTGGTCCAAAGAGATAAGATAAGATAAATAAACAATGATTGCACTACGACCTTAAGTCTATTGGGCTCTCTCCTAAATCACAAAGACTCACCTAGTCCCAGCATATTGATAAAGTCCAATATACTGCTAGATATTTGGAAACATGTACCCCAGGGCCTTTATTCAGCGTCTGCAGAATGCTATGCAGTCAATTAGCAGGTGTTTTGGAGCCTATGGGCCATAGCCATAGGCCTATGTTATACATATAAGTGCTTCTTCAGCATGCATGGCACAGTATAGAATGCGACAAGTAGCCTGAGTTTATACCTAGGGAGATTGATTACATATTTAAACCTGCTGAGGTTATAACCCCCCTTTAGCAACTTGGCCTTCTTCCTTACGAAGCAGCTCCAGGAACGGGCAAGCTTATCAACTAGTTCATTCCCGGCTATATTTTTGTGACTGAGCACCCAGATAAGGTGCACTTGGATATGTTCCGCTAGACTTTTCAGCTGTTCTCTACTTTGATTAAATGCTTGGAAAACTTCCTATAGATATGAAGAGTTTGGTGCGTGGTCCTGCGATCTCTGAACCGATTCCCTCTGAGGTTTTCGAGCCGTCAATGTACCACTTGATCAGCAGCGGCTCGAGAGTGGAATCGTTCATTCAGCCTTGCTGCCAAAAGTAACCTTAAACTTCTTCGTGAAGTTAGCTCTTTTGGTAATATTGTCCCTTTGAAGAAGAGCCAATGGTATTCCATTAGTTAATTCTTTCATCCGCTGGAATGAGATTACCTTACCTCTGTCACACTATTCTCCTGTCATTTGGAGCAGTGTGTTTTTGGCTACCTGACCGATTACTAGGGAAGTGGTGTCGATAGTTTGAGCCCTGCCGGAGTCTGCGAAACTTTTGAAGCCCAAGCCACCAACCCCCAATCGGTCGCACGATCTCGGTCTGCAACCATCTGACAATCATTGACTTGCAGCCACAAGACTTACCAGCACTCGTAGAAGAGAAAGAGTAAGCGTCTAAACGATCAGCTTTAAACTCTTTGGAGAAAATCTGTTTGAAGTTTCAAACCAAACTTTTCGAAAATTGAAAGTTGTTCTTATTGAAATTTTCAGAACTAATTAATCGGATTAAAGAATATACTGCGAAATATAAAAAAAAAAAGTTTTGGTAAGAGCAATCGCCTTCCTATATATTTTTATATTTTACTAAGATCACTTTCTTTAATGAGTTATTGGCTTTGTTCCCATATTGTACAGAAGGAAAAGAAACCATTACTTAAACGAATATAATTTATAAATCTCCCCTCAGTCACAAATGACCCCAAATTAAAAAGCAAACTTTGGCACGATCATAGTGCTCTCGCTAAAGGCTAACAAATATCCACACCATTAAAATAAAAATATACATCAAACAATAAACATCCGTTGAGTGTACACAAACTCATTACTAGCGAAAGCCAACAACAGCTTCACGTTCTTCCTATCATATTGTCACCTGTTCAAAAATAGTGAGAGCAAATTGTGAATTTAATGAAATTAAGAATCGATAGAAACACTGGTAGAAAAGCTTATTGATGTGGCCGCTGAAAGCCAGCAACAACAATCGAGTATTCATACGAGTAGATAAGTGGCTTCCGGTGATGCCGCCAATATAAAGATTGTTCCGCTTGGACAAAACCTTGAGCACTGGTCAGGTGGTCAAACAGTGGTCGACACTTACACCGGTTGAAGCTAATGCGCCGAGTGGTGATCAAAGCGCAAAACCGGCAATCATGCTGTCAACGGGCCAGCCAAGCGTTTATCGTCCCACACTCACAGCGGAGCTTAAAGAGAGTTAATACTTGCATTGAATTTGTATTTGATTATACAGGGGTGTAGCGATTATAAATTTCAAAATACGGTTGAAGAAAATAAACTTCTGGCTGATGTTTATAAGGGCTTAAATTTGAATATGTGGGTCTCAGATATAGAAATCCATTTTCTTCGAAAGCAATCATAAGTTCAGTTAAAATCCATTAACCCTCCCATAATGTTTCGCCATTAAGCACATATGAAGTAATTTCTACGTACTTACTTATAGTCAGTTGTATGCGTGAATAGCCGCATTTTCTTGCAGATGTCTGCTACCGTCTTGATTTGATCACTCGCGTCGCACGCAGCAAACAACGCAACTCCGGTAGCATCTCACATACATATTGACAATCTCTTCCTTCAGCTCTTTGGGCGTGGATTACTTTAGGCAAGGCTTGTTCATTTGAAGTTGCGCAAATATTAAATATTTGTGTTGGCATCATCATTCGTCACCTTCTGCAGTTAATGATCGTTGTGACTCTCGTTTAATGGTTTCAACGTTCCATTCTTATATCTGCGTTTGTATGTACACTCGTATAAATGTGTGAATTTATAAACATATTTATATATGTATAGCTATGAGATATTTTCTTACTTTGGATATAGCATTATTTGGGGTGTTAGGTGATCAAAGCCATGAATAATTTCTTCGTGGAAGGCACGGCTTTTGCTATTTTGAACTTGAATTGCGAATGGAGTTGCTTTAACTGGAATTAATTATGACAAGTTTCAGCATATATTAATATTGATTGATATATATCAGGTCCACTTCGATTCAAATTTGAATGTGGGAACAAAATTAATGCGGTCATACCTCTGTACGCCGCCAAAGCAAAGTTTCTCAGACTCAAAGCGCTGTTTGAATATAATTTCAAGCATCGGTCATTGTTGTTTTTATTCCATTAATTTTGTGTAGAATCCTCAAGATGGCGCAGTGATCGGCAACGACCGTCGCACCGCGACAAAGCAATGCCAGCTACAGCAGTAGAATTTTGCAAATTAATACAATTACATATGAACAAATAAAAATAAGAATTAGAAATATTACTATTTTATGCCTTTACAACTAAAACAACACATGCAATATTGATATGCAACAGAGCAATTTGCGCTTAAGTTTGGCTTCCCACACTGCCCGTACAGCCCATAAATCAAGTAGCACAATTTTACTCCCAGTACTCCAAATTATCTGCCGCTTATATCCTGACAACTAAAAGTGACCAAGCGGTATTTGTTTATATATTTTCACAGATTCTTTAAAAATATCTCACATTTAATTATTCAAATAAAAAATTAAGCTGTTTCCTATTCTACTTCTTTCTGTCACTTTAATTCACAGTACCGCAGTTCGTATATTCTTCATTCACAATAAATACTAACAGCTGTTGTACATTCATAAATTACTTTTGAATGTCACTTGGACCATACCACAAATAAGTGAAGAATCGATAACTGAGAGTATATTACGCTAATTTTCAAATATAATTAATGGAACGGAATAATATTTTTCAAAGTTTTTATAAATAATCCAGTGCTGTTCTTTCATCCACTTAATTACACAATTGTTAACAGCTAGTCTATGTTAATGGTTTATCATAAGCATTGAAAAAATTAGAATTAAATCGATAACTCCTCCTTATCACTAATTTTTCTGAAATATACATAGTTTTGTATATGTCATCAATAAGAAGAAACAAATAGGAATTTTTTCATAAATAAACATGTCAACGTTCTACTTCGTCATCGTTGGACACAATGATAATCCTATATTTGAAATGGAGTTTAGCACAGTCAATAAAGAGTTGCGTGTAAGTATCTGGCGATATATGCTACACCTTCCACCAGTATCTCCCATTAAAGACAATAAATTATTGCAGAAAGAAGACAGTCGTCACTTGAGTCAATTCATTGCACATGCCGCGTTAGATCTAGTAGACGAACACAAGTGGAGAACGCCCAATATGCAGTTCAAGTCCATCGATAAATTTAATCAATGGTCCGTGTCCGCATTCGTAACCGCCAGCCAGATACGCTTCATTATTGTGCATGACAACAAAAATGATGATGGCATAAAGAATTTCTTTAATGAAATGTACGAAACATATATTAAACATTCCATGAACTCATTTTATAAAATCAATACGCCCATCAAATCGCCTGTTTTCGAAAAGAAAGCACACCTTTTCGGGCGTAAATTTTTGCTATCATTATAATCGTTGTATAGTTTAATAAATATAGAAGCATATTATTTATAAGTATTTAAAGGTGTATGATTTTCGGAGTTATATACAGATTTTTAGCTTTGTAGAAAATTAAATTGCTTATTTGTTATTAATTAACCGTCCTACACTGATGTAATGGATCCGTATTTTTATACTCTGAATTGGGTATATAAAGTTTGCCATAAAGTTTGTAACAACTAGAAGAAAAAGTAGAGATTTAGCTATGTTCATCTGTTTAAACCTTGTTGTTGTTGTAGTGACAGAAAACCTGAAGTAATTTCGAGTAATCATGCTAACTGACAGTCCTTGGCCGGATAAGAATCTGTCAGTCTGGTGCTCTTGAATTTTGTTGTTTTTGTTGTTGTTGTTGTTGTTGTAGGGGCATAAAACATTGCTGAAGCAATTTCGAAGCATGGTGCCGAGTTGACAGTCCCTGACCCGAAAAAATCCGTGCCTGTTCCAGTTATTTAGACCCAACTGTCGTGGGAACGGTGATGTAGATAGGATTCTTGAGTATGTATGGTTTTTTTTTACCTACAGTTGAGTTTACCTGTTACGCATGGACCGGAATTTCTCTCCGGAATTTGAGTGTGAACTCAACGGAATATTTTTGCTGTCATCACAATTTTATACTAATTTTCACACAATTTTTTAGAGGTTTTTTTCAGGTTTGTTCCTACACCTTCAACAAATTTACAAAAATAAGTTTACATTTATTAGCAAGAGAATTTTCCAATTCATCTTGTGGCTTAGATTTAGCTAGTTCAACTTCTTAACGGAATGAGTAATGCCCAAAGCACAATGTATGCATTTATGGATTATTGTACCACAAATACAATTCATGAATTTATGAATTTATTGTATTACATCAGCTGATCAAATGATGGTAAACTAAAGTAAACACAATTAATTCAGTTTAGTATTAATGAAATATTTATTGTTGCACTTCATCATGTGGAATACATTGAACATCTAATGCAAATGTTTACGTTTTAAAGGAAACTTACAATTACATATATGTATACAAAGAAAGAAATAAAACATTTATTCTTCATTAGAATTAAAAATATTTTGCAAATACTTTCTCATTGGAGTGAGTCTTAAGAAAATTTTTTGTAATTCAATTTCAGAAAAGGATACAACAGAAGCGCACTACTTGCATTTACAAAAACAAAAAGAAACTATGCTTAATCATCAATTTTATTATTATACTCTTTTTCATTATTAATTCTTAGCATTTCTTGCTTGTTATCGTCCTTTGCTTTAAATTCTAAGATATTTATTTATACATCACGTAAATTTATCATTGCTTAACATCAAATACAATTTATCATTTATTAGTTTTAGTCAAAAAAATAAAAATACGATAATAAAGAAAAAGAAAAATTCATTTGCACACACTATTTATGTATGTATGTATGTGAATGCGCGTCGCCTAAACACTAGTGTGTGTGTGATGCACTACTCTAACTGCATAGCAAAATGTTAAATTAGAAATTGCAACTTTCTAGCTTTTAAATCTACAAATTATGCATACATTTGTTTTTAGAACCACAGTTTATATATTGTATGTATGTATATATACAAATATATACGCATATGGATATACACAACTGAACATTTATATATATATTTCTTTATATATAGTTAAATATAAAGGAAACTTAACTGTGTATCAGTAAATGTTTATACACAACATACCAACATACATACATTTTTGGTGGTTTCTAAAACCGTTTCGACCTTTCACAAATACATACTATCATATAAAGCGCGAACATATGTATAAATATATATATAGTGTACGTGTATGTGTCAAAGAATTCAAAATTGCAATTTGCCATTCGAAATTTTATTTAACCTCGGACATTTAAGTTCGAAATCAAGCGTAGACGCACTAAATATGTATATAGCGACACTCTTAAGTGTATATTTATGTATGTATATACACGGCGTATGCGTAAAATTCGTGGATTTACGTCAACGTATTGCATTTATTTACAGAGATTTCGTTTCCGGCGCACACGATACTACTTGGACTTTTTCCCCGTAACAGCATGCCGCTTCTGTTGAATCTTATCTTTGAGATTTTTTATTAAGCTTTCAATATCTTCCACATTGTAAGCGTATATGAGTTTGCACTGTTTCGCCTGTATATTGCCGTTATTTAAATTCTTCAAAGCATGTTGCAAGCAATAGACATTGCCTTCCTCCGTCTTCACCATTGATATATACAAATTAGCGCGACACAAGTCGCACTCACTTTCAATGGATTTATGTGGTGGTTGCTGCTTTTTAGCCTTGGAACCTTTCTCGTTGCCCACCTTTTCCGTGGACGTAACGCCAGCAGCCTTGAAATGACAATAAATCATTTTTTATTATTTTCTTATTAAAGAAAGCAAATATTAGTTAGTTATACCTTGAGCTGCTCTCGCGCGGCCAACTCCTTCTCGTACACTTCCTGCAGCATGGGCAGCATTTGTTGGAGGGTGTCGGAAGTCACACGCTGATCATAACCCAATGCGAAAAGTAGTTGCTCCAAGGAAAACATAGCAGGTTCGCAGCTATCATGAATGTCCTTTAAGAAATAAAAATATTTTTTTAATTTAAGTTTTAATAATTATTTATTTTTTTTATATAAAACAAGAAGAAACTTTAACTTCGGTTGCACTTTAGCTATATCCTTCACAAATACAAAATATGTACATACAACCTGGCAAACTTAACACACCTTGTGGTGGATATAAATATTAGAAAAATCAAAATTGATAGATTACTTACTCTAAAATCATCTTTAGCCAAATCCAGCCAAGACGTCGTGGCGAAGTAAACACTCTCGGACACCACATAGCCCGTGGCCAAGCTCGAGGTGTAGGCACGTGGAAACACAACAATAAACTCGCCCGGTTTCTGTTCGATGCGACATAGCGACACGCCGCGATCGGTGAGCATGTGCGGTGGAACCATAACCGTGTCACAAGGCAGCCAAATTGTCTTATTTTGACAGTGTGTGGGAATGAGCGAAGTAAGTGCTGATCGGAAATTGGCGCTCTGGTCATCTGGAATGCCGTACCACAGTTTTGAGGCGCCTGTATGTAAATATTCAATCCAGGAGAGCCCATGTGGATCGCGGTACCAGCAGCACGCAGAGAACAACATGCCTACATGCAGAGTCGGTACTGTTACGCCCATTACAGGACCAAGCGAGCGCAATACCGATCCGGGATTATTCGTTAGCACTTTCAGATTCCACGGGTGGCGTGCATAATTTGAACCTTTACTTTTTGGTCCCGGACTGGGGAAACCATAACCCCAACCGGAGGAATCTATAGAACCAGAATGCACACAAACATGACTGTCACGCACGGCTACATGACGCCAAAACTCAGCCTCAACCTCATTGACAATCGGTTCGGTATTCTTGAACCACAGCGCCATTGTATTGCGTGCAATGCGATAAAATTGACTAAGCGGCATGCTGCGCCCTTTCACAATGCACTCCATTGACACACCGTCCACTTCCTCTTCGGATTCTTCATCGTCCTCTGAGGAAACATCGTCTTCTTCATTCGACACACTCTCCGTATTCACAAAACGATCGGCATTACGTCGTGCCCGCGCCTCACGTTTCGCCCAATCCGCTTCGACTTCGTCGAATAACTTTTGGCGTTCGGCTGGCGATAAGGTATCGTAAGGTAGCAAATACTTGCAGTATATATCATCAAGTTTCGTAACACGATCTTGTGCCAACTTCGGAATGCACATCTCTTCGGCTACCCGCGCCCATTTCTTCTTCTCAATCACCTCCTTCAAGCCGCCCAACTCCTGAACGGTGTGGTAAAGACGCGGCAGATCAACTTCCATGCCGCCAATCCATGGTGGATGATTCATAACAATGCTCTGTGTGGCGAGATATTTTTTAATTGCACTTAGCTCCTTGGCGCTGGGTCCCCAACGATGAAGCATCTTATGTACGTATTGATTGTATGCTGTGAAACGCATCTCGTCCGATATGCGACACTCCGGCTTGAACGTGGCCGGTGGTATTATTTTACAAATACCGAAACGCGCAGCAATGGGTGTGATGCGTTCAATGAAATCAATGGGATCGGCAAACTCTTTTTCCGTTGGACGAAAGATCGGCGCCTCCACCATTTGCGTTGGGTCATCGTGACGCGGAAATGCAGTGTTGTTGGACATTTTAATAGGTGTGTCATCTTTGAATTTCTTATTCGCGCCATGTCCGCTTGGACCGGGACCAGCCCCGCCCATACGTGATTTAGCCGAACCTGAGAAAAGCGAAGAGTTTGAGTTCACACGCACTAACGGACCGCCGACTGACGTATTGGCAGCATTAGCCGCAGCTGCCGATGTGGATGGTTGGTTGTTCGCGTCTGCGCCAGCTTTGAATCTGGGCTGTACGGTGCCAATTGGTACATTTTTCAAACTATTCGAAGATGATTTATCGGCGTTTGTTGTTGACACCTCGGAGCTGTTTGGTTGTGTTGTGTTCGCCTTCTCGGACTTTTTTGTGTCACCTTCGGCGGTGTTCTTTGCAGCTGTCGCCAAAGCTGACGATATTGTTTGCGTACTTGGTATTAAAGTTTTCACAATATCCGCCACGTTCATGGACTCCGGCAGCGGTTTAGAATTGGAGCCCATCTGCGCTTTTGTCACCAAGGTGGCATGCATTATAACCTTTTGGTTCGGTCCATCAGGTCCCTCACGTCCCAATTTCACTGCAACACCTTGTATGCCACCTTCGCCATCACCGCCGGCGCCAATACCTTGTAGTGGTATGTAAAATGTGTGGCCCTCCTCGTCGGAATCTGCATCGTTATTTGCGGTCTCCTGCTTCTTGGCGGTTTTCGCAGATTTCGCAGCGTTAGCTTTATTGCTAACACCAGGCTTCTCGGAATCTAAACTCACTTTAACGAGCTTACAATTCTCCGACGGACTTAATGTCAAGGAAACGGAACTATTTTGCGTCTTCCCAGCGACGTCCTTGTTAGGCTTGTCGCTGGAGGCTGTTGGTGTTGCGACTGCAGCACCCGTCGACGTGCGTTTCTTACCCGGCGAAGCTTTGCTTGTTGTTGTCGGTGTGTTTGGTGTGGACTCCTCATTTTGAGAGTCGCGTCCGCTCTGTCGTCTAAATGCTGGCGTTGTTTGTGGCAGCTTATGGCCCTCGACTTCATCGTCGTCCTTATCGAAGGAATATATGGACTTCTCGTTATCCGCCGAAAATGCACCATAAGAAAATGGCGCACACTTCTTGTGACTTGTTGTTGTTGTTTCTTTGAGTTCAATTTGTTTTTGCTGATTCTTCTGATTGTAGACAGGCGTTCGTTTGGGTGTTTTTGCTGCGGTGGAAGCGCTGAGCGACGGAGTATTTAGAACAGACTTAAGTGGCGTCGTGTTCTTCTCGTCTGTCGCTGTTGGTGGCACCATTGCGTTGGTAGTGCTGTTCTTCTTACGACTTTGTTTTGACGTCGGCGTAGTATCCAACGCGGGTGCTTGAATAGTTGTAGGCGTTTGCGCTTGTGCCTGCTTGCCAGCAGCAGTTGTCTTGGAGTTCCCGCTGGAGCTTGTTGGCGTATCCTTTTCTTTTTCGTATTTACTCTGTTTATTATCCTTGCTGGCCGTTTCGTTTGTAGCCTTTTCTTCTTTGAGTTTCTTAACGGCTGCCGTTTTCTTTTCGGCCTTCTCGGCGCGTGTGGTTTTGACTGGTGTTGGTGTCTCACTTCTGACGTGCGCATTGCTGTTTGTTTTGGCACTAGTCTTTTGTGTGAGATTTATTGCTTGGCCACTTGTACGCTCGTTTTCGGTGACAACGTCCATTGGACTAACGGTGTCCAGCATTTTACCATCGTCTTTGCGGCTGCTCGTTGCAATAACGGGTGTGGCCTTTAGAGATGGTCCCTTCGCCGACCAGGCACTTTCACTTTTGCCCAGATCACGTGTGGCCTTCGATGACGAACTAAACGATGTGCTCTCCTTGTCATCGCGTGTCGGTGGCGGCGTGGTGGCAAAGAGATTTGGCCGCAAATTATCATCGAAATCATCGTCCAAATCATCTTGTATCTCATCGGGATTCGACGAACATTCAATTAGCCACTTTTGTATTTGCTCGTGTGTCATATTGACTTTTGCTTTGCGGCGTTCCTTGCTCGATAGCTGATCACCGATGTAGCCCTCGGTAGGCACTACGGGACCCAATACTGGTTTGTGTATAGAACCGCACTTACCCAGCGTACACTTGGTGTTGTCCGGACCCGAACTTTGCGCCAGACTTACGCTAGCTATACCAAATACTTTTCCGGACTCCTCTTTGCTTGGCATGAGACTGGCTGTGAGTATGCTGCCGATTTCATCTTTTAAGGGATCGGTGGATGCAGCTGTCGCACCGGCTATAGCCGAGGTAGTTACACTGGTGCTTGCTGTTATAGCAACGGTGGTGCCAGCGCCGGGCATGTTCATTTTCGTTGCCAAAGAGGAATTTCCAAGTCCGCCTTTAGTAACGGATGACAGTTCAAATTTCACTGGAGATGGTGATGGAAAGTTGTTGGTGCGCGGTAAAGTGGTGCGGTCGAATTTCGGTGTTAGAAAATTCGGATTTATTTTCGGTGATGGATATGCTTCGATGGGTGGGGGATAGGTTGTTGGTGCGGCTGGGTACTTCAGCGGTGACTGTGGCGGTAACGGGGCCTGCAAGTGTGGCGGCAATGCAGCATTGCTAGTGGGTGTTGGTGGTGCTGTGGGCGACTTAGCGTTGGGAAATGGATGTGCCGCTGGGCGTACATGTTGCGTATGATAATGTGGTGAAGCTGGTGGCAAATAAGTCGGTGTTTTGTTGAAGCCGGCATTTAGCGCGATATTCACATTTGCGGCTGGCGGTGTCACCGAAGGTATTGCATAAGTCGCTGGCACATTTAATATTTTAGATGTTGGTATGGGTGATTTTTTTTCAATTGTCTTAAATGGACTTGGTACTTGTGGTATCGCACATTGTGTTACTGCTGCCGTTACCGGGGAAGCGCTCGTCACAGGTGTGGCGGTATTGAGTGGTGGTGTTGTTACTGGTTTCGTGGTAATTGGTAACATCATTAATTGATTCGGTGGCACGAAGTTTTGTGTTGTACTGTCACATTTTCTCGAATCCGAATGTTCGGAATCTTTATCATTTGATTTGATATTTGCTTTTATCGCCAGCGGCTCGTCATCAGAATCACTGAAACTTTTCTCTAGTTTGCGCTTGGTTTCATTTAACTCTTTATTCAATAAAAAATCTTCATCATCGGTATCTGCTTTACTGATGTCCGACTTTTGCTTACTACTCGTGGTGCTCTCTACCGTTGTGGGTATTTTCGTGATGACCCCTTTCTTAACTAGCATGCCTTCGATTTCCCGTTTGACTGGCGCTTGTTTGGGTTGTTTGGGTGGACGGCCGCGTCTGCCGGTCGTTGGTTTCTCCACAGGAACTACTGGTTCCACTATGGTGGACTTTGGCGCCTCCTTTGGTGGAAGGGGCGCCGCACTGCCGGTTGCATTAGTATTGGCGCCGGTAGCGGCATTCTTTTTTAACTCGTTCTCCATTTTTTCCATCTCCTTTACATTGGGCCGATCTGGAAAACTATTCAATGATAAGTCGTCATCTTCATCTTCGGCTAATTGTAGTTTATGCCCTATGATGCCCATATAAATTGCAGCTGCCTCTTTTGTTTTTCGCGATGGTCGTGGAAATCTTGCATTTCCACTGCTCTCCTTTTCATCTTCACCATTTAGTGCCGAGATGTCTGACTTTGATTTCTTGTTTGTTATTTGACGCACAGGCGATTGCTTCTTCGGAGATTGTGGTATTGTTTCTTTCTCTATTTCGACCTCGTCTTCTATTTTCTTTTTTGCTATTCTCCCTCGACCCCTGCCTTTAGCTTTTAGAGGCGCTTGTGGTTTTTCTTCCACGGCTACCTTTTCATTGCCATTGGCGATAGGACTTGATTCGATTTCTTCGTTTGTTTTTACAGCTTCAGCCACTAACATTTCTTGATTTTGTTCCGAGTTTGCTTTTTTTGGTGTAGCTTTCTTACCAAGCTTTCCAGCACGACCTCCGCCCTTCTTTGGCGAAACCTTCGGTCCCTTCTTGAGTTTTATAGCTTTTGCCAAGGGTTGTTCGTCATCGGACGAAAAGTCAAAAACGTTCATTTTATCTTTATTTTCGGTATTCACATCTTCAGATGCATTTTGTATAGACTTCTTAGAATTTTTGTTCGAATCTTTAACTGACTTGTTATCGACATTTCCTAATTTCACATTATTCTCAACAACATGGTCGTCATCCGCTTCTTCGGTGTGTATTACTTTCACTGGTTCAAAAAAGGCTCGTTGCCTTGTCATACGCCCTGAAGGCTCAGGCGATGGTATAAATATTGGCGACTCTTTCTGTCTAGGCCGTTTTACCGGAATTTTATCTTTAGCTTTTGGCTTATCATCTTTTGTTTGTGTTATTTTTATAATTTCTTTGGAATTTGATTCCAACTGGACATCCTCTGGTGGAACGTCTTTACCTTTTTTCGCTGTTGATGGAGGTCTACCCTTGCGTGAACGTCCCGTTTCACTCTCCTTCGAAGGCGTTTCTGATTTACGCTCCTGTATTGTGGGTGTTTTTGATTTCTTCGCATCGCTTCTTCGCACTACATACAATTCTTTTTCGGAATCTTCAATTTTCGTAGCTTCATCTTTTGCAGAATAGAATTCATCTTCTTCACTATCATGCTCCGTGGTTTGTTGTGTATCTTTTGCACCACCCCGATTTGAACGTCTTTTTGTATCCGGTGTATTATTGCACTTATCAGTTTCAGTGTTGTTGTTGGACTGTTGATCGCCCGGTGGACGACTTCGTCGATTACCAACAGGAACTACTTCTGCACGCTTCCGCACCGCAAATGGTATAATATTATTTTCGACGGACCCAATATTGTCTTCTGGTTTTGTAGCAGCTTCTGTGGAAGGTTCATCCGCCTTGGAGTTACTGTTCTCGGGCGCCTCTGCAAGAGTGGTTGCGGCATTTTTGGATGTCGACGCTTTTGGTTCTTCTTTCTTCGTTGTGCTACCTTTGGGTCGACCTTTCTTGCCTTTTTTACCACCTTTGGTATTTTTAACTGGTGTTATCTTTACAGGACGCTCTGGTTCTTTCGTCTTGCCTTGATTTAAGAAGTCTAAATGCGCTGGTAATGCGGGCGTTCCACGAAAACACAAGAAAGTCAGAAAATCTTCAGTCTTCGGACGCTTGTTTGGTAAAATTTCTGTTGGTGGTTCACGGCTTTCAGACGATGTGCTCGGACCAGTATTTGACGAAGAAGAAGCTGCAATCACTGCACTGTATGATGACGTGGGAGCATTTTGACCTTGTGCAAATTTTCGTTGGGCTTGAACTTTGGTTCTACAAGTGAAAGATATAAACATAAGATTACAGCGTCAGTTTGACAATTAAAATTTATTTCATTTGTATGCTAATTAAACTATAAAAATGTATGTATTAAGAATGTTATAAGAATTTAATAATACAATAGTCAAAAGGGAAACGACATTGAAAACATCATTAAACCCATCATTAAATTTGCAATGTCACATACGTGTCTCAGAAAAAATACAGAAATACAGTTCGGTTTATTTTTTTTCCTTCGAAAGGGCATATCTAACAAATTGGAAAAATGTGTTTTTCTTACTATATTATATGGTTCAGGAAGTTACGAGTATTTATGCCTATTTACGAACGTATTATATCCAAACTTTAAAGCGTTTTCCCACCACTAGCTTTTTCAAAGTGGGTGCACCTCATTAAACACCGAAACGACCCAGAACAATTGCCCCCATTTTCAATTATTTACTTTTACCATTAGTATTTAAAAATATAATCGACATCTTCATAAGGAATACATTGAAACTGACTTTGTTTTACACGAATTAACCCTATTCCCCCTTTAAGAATTTTACAAAATTCTGCTTCAGAAAATGCATTGCTAATTTATTAAATATAAATATATTTGAATAACAAAGAAGTTTTTCAAATTAAATTTTCTTTTTACGATACAAATTCGACTTTATTATTATTCTCATATGTACATATTTTATTTGCATACTTTCAAAATACTTCCTTTGATTATTACTGCTTTAATATACAATAAATGACTTATGCACTTGTCTATCATATATAATTGCATGCATATATAAATTATTCCGTGAACAGGTACATACACACATAGTTGCACATACATACATACATATAAGCTGGTAATTGAATGTCCGTTGTTTTGCTACTATATTTGAAATAGTTATCCATACACCACACATAAAATTGCTATATGCCCTCTTAATACTACTGAATGGTAAAAAAAACAAATTCCATATTGATCACATAAACCGGGCTTCTTACAAATAAACGTATTACGTACCGTTTAGGCATTTCTGGTGACGACTCCACTGCCGTCGGTTGAGGTGGCGGTGACTCTTTGCGTTTCCGCTTAGAGTCTTTGGATACGACCATCTTTCATCCACCCCTTTGGCCACTTCTCCTACTTAACTTTTCACAATTCACACTTGACTTCACTTGGAAAATATGTGCGTCGTTTCTCAGCCGGTTAAAAATTTATAAAATCGTAACACGTATTGACTACTTACAAGCAGTAACTTTATATAATGGTTTATCAGTTTTTGTAAATTTTTATTAAATGTGTACAAATCGCATAAATTACTCCAATTTACACACACCGCCACCGCAACTACCCATTTTTTTCATTTGCAAAATTTTCATCGACGTCGTAACTAGAAAACTTAACTCCATTTTTTTCACACCTTTCACTGCATTTTATTCTTCACAAATATTGGCATTCATTACAAATAAGTTCACTTCAACAATTTTCAATAGTTAGCAAATTTTTTTACACATTTTTATGAGGGAAAATAATTTTTGAAAAATTCTTATTTTCTTCTCCGATTTGCAATCGCTTTGCATTTACCACAGTCACTTCGAAACTGATTGCTTTGTGTCATGGCGGACAAATAGCAGAGGTGTATTCCATCGCACTACGATTTTTTTTTTTAAGTTTTTATAACAATGTACTTTTACTATGGGTCAGTGGACTACAAAGAACACATTTTTTACACGCACAATGAAAATAAACACAGTATTGTTATTAAGAATTATGTGTCAAAATATGCTGAACAACAACGTAATCTCTATTAAAAGTACAAATAACTGAAAACCATAGTTTAAAATTATAACAAGTAAGCAAATTAACTAAAAAAAACAGTTGGATTTCGGTAAAGATTTTAAGGTAAGATAAATGGTTAATTTGGATCTCTTGTATCAATAATATTAAACATTATTCTTCAGTATACAATTCTTCAAATGAAATATTTGTCAACACTGTTTATTGTTAGGTAGTGTCGGTAACCCTGTTCATAGCTACGTTGTGAATTGCATTTTTTTAATTTTGACAGGTAAAAATATATTTGTGTCAAAGATTAATTGTCAATAGAATCATATAGTACAATTTCTGGTTCGCTGAAATAAATACAATTTTAAGAAATAAATAAAATGTCGGACGGTGCAGGAAGTTGGTGTTTAATTGAGAGTGATCCCGGTGTATTTACGGAACTTATTCGTGAATTCGGTAAGTAACTTTATTAGCGTCTTTATTTACCGGCTTCTATGAAGGTGTTTGACACAATTTTCTTCGCTTGGGGGTTAAGTATACAAGATAAACAATTTTGTGCAAAATTGCAATATCATCGGAATTTGTTATCTGTTCATTTTTTTTATTGTGTATGTTTATTATTGAGAACTACAGCGAGATACCAAATTATATTGTTAACCATTCCAATTCTTTATAACATTTTAGGTTGCGAAGGGGTGCAGGTAGAAGAAATATGGAGCTTAGATCGTGACCTGTTCAAAGAACTCGAACCTATACATGGTCTAATATTCCTGTTTAAATGGGTACAGGACGACGAATCTGTTGGCACAGTAGTAAAGGACGATCGTTTAGATAATATATTCTTTGCGAAACAAGTTATAAATAATGCTTGCGCTACACAAGCTATACTAAGCATATTACTGAATTGCAATCACCCAGATATTAACTTGGGGCCAACACTTAGTGAATTCAAAGAATTTTCACAATCTTTCGATCCGTTCAACAAAGGCTTAACACTGAGCAATGCGCCTAAAATTCGTTCTGTGCATAATTCATTTGCGCGACAAACACTCTACGAGCTAGACACTAAAAACCAAAACAAAGATGATGATGTATACCATTTCATCGGTTATATACCGATCAATGGGCGCTTATATGAGCTCGATGGCTTGAAAGAAGGTCCAGTCGATTTGGGCGCTGTGGCCACTGATCAAAATTGGATCGATGTTGTGCGCCCAATAATCGAAAAGCGTATGCAAAAGTACAGCGAAGGCGAAATTCACTTTAATCTTATGGCGCTTGTGTCGGATCGTTTGAAAATATATCAGCAAAAAATTGATCAGCTTATAAACACCGCTGACGACGCCATGGACACCGACGAGGATAGACAGACTGAAATCGCTAAATTGCGTTCGAAAATGGAGTACGAAGTTGAGAAACGGAAGCGATATAAAGTAAGTGAAAGTAACTTTACTAGTAGTTCAAAAACATAATAATAAAACTGTTTAGTAAAAAAGTTAATGTGGTTATTAACTCAAATTTGTGCATTACCAATAGTTAAATAACTATTATTTCGTTATGAGTTTCAAAGAAAATTAATTCTTAAAAGATTTTGCTGGCTTTTGTACATTTTACCAAAACAATAATTTTTTTTTTCCTTTACAGATCGAAAACATTCGTCGTAAGCATAACTATTTACCATTTATAGTAGAATTACTAAAAATGTTGGGCGAACAAGGCCAATTAATGCCTATCTATGAAAAGGCTAAACAACGCGCTGCAGAAAGAGAGGCTGCTGTTTCGAAAAGCAAATCTTAAAACTTTTGCTACTGTGCGACATACAAAATTCTTAAACATCGTTGACGCATTTTTTCTTTACACTTTATGTAAATGCTTTTATTACAAAAGAAAAAAAAAAAAAATAAATAAAAATCAAATCAATCGTTTATATATATATACATATATTGCTAACGGAATGACTGCCGAGGAGAATATGTATGATTCCCCTAATAAGATTGTTTAAATTTTTGAAAACTTGAGAAAATAGCTAAATAAATCTAACTTGTGCTATTGCAAACTGTAATTGTTTCATTCAATAATTTTGTAATAGAAAGTCTTGGGTTTTATTTTTGATTTATTACTTGTAATATATTTCAATTAATAGCATTAATATATATAATATATAATTTAATGTATATATAGTTGATCTTTATTACAATATGTATACTATATTCAGATTTCATTGCGTTTTTTACTTTTATATAATATGTAAGTATTGTATATAGGAATATTATGTTAATCAGTGATTTTGTCGGTTTCTAGGTTAAATCCACATTTACGTGTTATGGATTGATTTTCAAGGGTTTTTGATTATAGTTTTTTTGTTTTTTTTTTTTGTGTTTGGTTTTATATGCATATTTTACTTTTTGGGTGCGAGTATGTTTGATTTATGTAGTCGTTTTAATACAAAAAAAGTGCGCTAAACATTTTGTGTGACAAAAAAAAAGAATATAAGTGAAAATATTGTGGAAATTCAAAAGTGAGGTGAAAGCAAAGAAGTCCTTATTTAAAGAAAATAATTTGGAAATTAATTCAGATATATAAAAATAGTGTTCCAAGGTAAAAACTCCGAATAAATAGTTTAGATGGGACCAAAATAGTATATAGTTCTTGTATGGGCATCTTTTGTATTTGTGTGGGTATTTTAGTTAACGTTTTTTGATTTTCATAAAAATATATAATGAATTTCAAAAAAACTATTTTTTAAATATTAACGAATTTTAATGTTATAAATTATCTGATTGTATATTTCTTCAAAATTCTAATGCTTCTTCTAGCTTTGTGTTACATATCTTTTGATTTGTTTAATATTCTTGCAATCATTACACTTTTTTAATGTGAATCCTCATTTATCTCTAACTTAGCATACATCGCTACATTGCTTTTGCTGTTGTTTTTGATTTTTTTCTTTGTTTTTTTCTTTGCTGTATTTGTATATAGTTTATTAACGTGTGCTTGTCTTAATTTGCACACATTTAGTTTTTAAGAAATTTGTCCTTTCGCACTGATTTTTGTTTATTTTTTGGTTTTTTTTATCAAAACAAATTTTGAACTTAACAACCATAACCTCTAAATTTAGCACTTATGAATATTTTCTTTCTACTTTCGCGTGTTTTTCATTTAATTTTAATAATTTTTAATTAACATAATTTTTTGCATGAATTTTTGAAGACACAACAGTTTCGGGTCCAGTTCCAGGAAGTATAATTTCAAGTTTAATCCTTTCATTTGCTTTGCACTCCACCGCCACATCACGCCTAGTCGCCACTCCATGCTATAGCACTCGTGCGCTTGTAATGGTTATTGTTAGGTCTTGAAGCCATCGAGATGCGTCGGTTGTGCGGTTGTCGGTTGGGTGTTGTTGGCTTGAGTTGACGGCGCCGGTTCACTACTCTCTCTATGAACTGTAATTGAATAAATGATTGTTTTTGTTTTGCTTTTGTTGTTGTTGCTATTTTGTTTTTGTGTGTGTTAACGTTTTAATAATTTGCACAATATTGCTGCTATTGTTGCATTTTGGAGGCATATCAAATGGGTATGGTTAGATTTGGAAAAAATTGATTTGTCTGATTGAATTGATTTGCCGAATTGATCGAATAGTTGTTCGGATTGTAAGATGCAAAGCAATTATTTGGCGTAGTTATACCTGCGGCCTGCATGCGATTGTATAAATTCTTTTTCTTCTTCTTCAAAATCATATCCAAATTGTAGCCATCAGCGGTTGTTCTGTAAGTTATCCAATTAAGTTAGGTTAGGTTAATTTTTGCAAATAATTGTTTAAATATATAAATTACTAATTATTGCTTACTTCTCAATGCGATTCATTCCCAATAAATCCTTGAAGGATAAGTATATCTTGTTGAGTGTCAAATTTGGTAGTCCCTGCCCCAAATATCGTACAAATTTGACCTGCTCACATTTGGGTAAGCCACTCTCATGGAAGTCCAAAAAGGGTCTATGATCGGAAATCTTATATTCCTGCAAACGGTAAAGTGGCGTAAACAAGAAATATATAAGATAAAAATTTTAACTTTTGTTTAAAAAACGAGAGAGTAAAACAAATAACTGTGCTCTCATTGGCGCTTAAACGGTTCTTGAACGTGAGGTTTATATCCTCAACAAAGTATATTAAGACTGTCACGAAGTTTGAAATGCTCAGAAGGATAAAAGATCAGCGTCACGAGCTGACTCAATTTAGCGGAGTCCGTCTGTCCATACGTGATCTAGTTGCTTAGTTTTTGAGATATAGACCTGAAATTTTGCACACGTCGTTTTCTCACCACAAAGCTGCCTATTTGTCAGAACCACCGATATCGAACCACTATAGCATATAGCTGCCTTACAAACTGAACGATCAAAATCGAGTTTTTGTATGGGAAACTTTTTTAGTTGAAGAGATATCTGCACGAAATTTGGCATGGATTGTTGTCTGAGGTAACGCTACTATTATCCAATAAATTATTGAGATCGAATTACTATAGCGTATAGCTGTCATACAAACTGAACTATCAAATCATCAAGTTTGTATGGAAAACTTTTTTAATTGAGGAGATGTCTTCACGAAATTCGCAACTGATTATTTTTCAGAGGAACTGTTACGATCTCCGAACGAATTGTTCAGAGCGCTGCGCTTTAGCATAGACATCGCTGCCATTCAAACTACTTGAACAAAGTCGAGAGCTTTTTGCAACATTTTAATGATTATATACATACATATGTATAAGTATGTATGTATGTATATGTTTGTATGTACATATATATGTAATAAAATTTGCATTAATATAAAAGCATAAGCACTAAAACCAGCCTTCTTTTCGCCATAAAAACTCTAAATATAAACGCAGCAATCTTTTATAGGCCAAAGAAAAATGTGTACGTATATGTACGCATATTAAGGCATATGCGCATATGTGTATGTATGTATGTATAATTGTATGCAATTTACGCTTCCTTTGTGTTTGCTCACATTGCAAAATTTGCTGAAGTTTTCGACGATTATGTACTTTTCGTAAAAGGTTACCGTTTGATTACTCTGAATACCGAACTGTTTGAATATTTCCTGCTTTTTCGGCGGCAAACGTGTTATATGTGTACAGACCCCATCCTCGACACGATGTGTTTCGTGTACATCGAAATTTTCGTAAATCATTAGATTTTCCAAAACCTTTGGCATTATACAACGCGCTGGTAACGCATCAAATCCGCTGCCGACTCGGACACCATCCAAGCCACCGCCAGCATTCGGTCCCACATCCATGCCATCACTGGATTGCTGATGCACCATGTTTTTTAAATCTGTCGAATATATGGAGTTTATGTTTAGGTTAGATTTTTTGTGTAAAAAGTGTAATACATAGAATTTGTTGTGTTTTTGGTTATTTTAATTATTATAATTGTTTTAATAACAAAAATATATAAAACAAAGTATAAA